GTATCTAAGTTGAGCGCTGCCGGCACGTCAAGCTACTTTGCTTATTTATGTAGCCCTCCTGCATCTAATGTTTGTTAATTATGCATTCAATCTATTTGTTTAAATTCAATATATTTGTTTAATATCGTTTATTATCTGTATACAATTATATACACTTGAAATATTGTATCAAGCCATATTATGTTCATGAAAATGTATGATGAAAAAAAGAAAAAAGATGCAGAAACCAATAAATCAAATCAAATCAAATTAAAAAAACACAAACATTAGCATGTTTGTAGATATTTACGTAAGGAACAAGATAGTATCATTATTTTTTTCCTAATATGCAATTTTTTTTCGTTATAGCTTAATTAATTATGCAAAATGCTAATTTTATACATTTTTACAGAAAACTCTACATATTTGTCTGTAGACTTGTGAAGAATGTTGAAAATGTATTGAATACTTTTTTCCTTCATCTCAAATTCATGAGGTTACATTATTTTTATGATATTTGCAAATGTATAGGTTAATTTGCATAAGTTATGAATACGCTTTCATGAATATCAAATCTGGAAATATACAGGGAACTAGAATCATTACAAAAATTGTCACTCTAATTTTTAAATGTTAATTGAAACTCATTATTCACATGAAACTTCTTTCCTAACACAAACAAGTTATTGTGATGTAATTAATAATGATAATTTATGCAAATTTGATGCGATTTTCAAATATTTATTTTCTGTTGTATTGTATTGTTTTGTATTTCTTATTATATCTATTGTTTTATTTATAATGTATTATTTTGTTCTGGAATACATCAAGTTACTTTGAGAAACATATACAAGCAATTTGATACCAATTCATATCTCCACTTAGGAAGAAATACATCTAAGCCTGTATTCACATTTCTGCTTCTACACGAATATATGCAATTATAGCATATTTGTGATGACATGCGCATACTTATTGTTATGTAACACCTTACAGGTATATCCGATTTCGATGAAAATGGTACCAAAATGTGCGTAAGACTTGAAAGTCATGAAACGACAATTCAAAATTCCAGGCGGTTGCGGCGCAATCTTTGAAAATGTCGAGGGACCCCCCCCCCCCCCTCAGTACAGTAAGGGTTAAGAGTAAGAATAATTCTTAGATTTTATCTAAGAAAAACGGCTTAAATAGCATGTCGACGGTATTCTAATACAATCGAGATATCTAATATAAGTAAGAAACCTTCCCTATATCCAAGCATACTACGAGGATGCTTCAATAGGGCTTTGGCACCGGCAGCTCAGTCAAAATGGGCTGTGGAAAATATATATTTTTTGGCTATTTTTCACTATTTATTTCCTATTTTTATGTGAATGTACTCTATTTAAACACTATTTTTTTTATTAAAAATAGATTAAAAATAGCATATGACAGCCTATTTTTTACCTATTTCTTGCTATTTTTTCCCTATTCTTTTTGTCACCAGATTTCGCCCTATTTTGTTTTACTATGTTTCTGGACTTTGAATTTTTTCACCCATTTTCTTCCTATTTTTTTAAACTATATTTTTGGACTTAGATTTTTCTCTGCCATTTGCTTCCTATTTTTTTACTGTGTTTTTGGACTTTGATTTTTCTCTGCCATTTTCTTCCTATTTTTTTAATATTTTTCTGGACTTCAATATTCTCTGCCATTTTCTTCCTAGTATTTTACTATGTTTCTGGACTTTGATTTTTCTCTGCCATTTTCTTCTCAATATTTTACTTTGTTTCTGGACTTTGATTTTTCTCACCCATTTTCTTCCTCTTTTTTTACTATGTTTCTGGACTTACATTTTTCTCTGCCATTTGCTTCCTATTTTTTTACCATGTGTCTGGACTGGAATTTGTTAACACCATTTTTCGTCCTATATTTTGTTTTACTATGTTCACAGAGTTAATGGATTTTGTCACCTTTTTGCTTTTAATATAGGCCGATATTTGAATTTTAAGGCTTTTGAAACTTAGTTACACTTTATAAATATATATTTACACAATTCAAATATTTCACAATATAACTATAATGTAAAAAAAAGAAAAAATTGTGATATTTCGTCTTTTAAAATGAAAAAAATAGATTCAAAGATGATTTGGATAAATTACTGGCCATCCTCAAAACTCAACTTTCCCTTTAACGGAGCATAATTATATCGTAGGACTGTGAACATTTTAAGGGAACATAAATATATCGTATAGGCTTGTGAAAAATTAATCAAGAATTAAGAATGTTTTAATTTTATCTTTAAATTAAATGATCTATCAATTTTTTCTCTGTCTATTATTTTGAATATTTCAAGTAAAAAAGTATGTAATTAGCAAAAGAATTAGCTAACTACTATATTGTTCTAATGACTAGAACTGAGCCAATGGGATGGAATTGTAACAATTTCCCCCCAAATAAATACAAAGGTGAAAGGGTGTATTAATTCTTCACAAACGTGAAAACATAATGAAAGACAACTAAATGTGTGCTGCCATCTAGTGGTAGAAAACGAATAGGCCTACCGGTAGTTTTTTTTTCAAATTCAAATCTTCACTCAGACTCTGAGCTCAGCTGATGATCAGCTCAACTGCGCATATTTCATTCATTACTTTGCCATTTGCCAGATATGTTGACTATAGGTACTCACCACCCCCCACTGAGCGAAATATTGGCCGGCACGATTTTCAAATTTCAGCACACGAAATTTCAAATTGATTTCAAAAATGTGCCCCCCTCCCCCCCCCCCCAGGAAATCCTGGATTCGCGCCAGCAGTGCCATCCGTTTGCTCAGTTCCATCATTGGTGCGTGGAAACTTTAGACCAAAGTTATCTGTGATCATGGATAATCAAACAACTCCAAACCCTATTTCATTTAGGCATAGATGTAAACCTGGAACTTATTAATACAAATATTTAAAAAAAACAACTAGGATTTGTTTATGTAATGTTTAGATTTTGTGTGGGTCCAGCATGCTTGTCAAGTTCTCATAACTCATACATTAAAGATTTGTTTCCAAATTGTGCAGTTCATGTGGATAAATCTATTTTTGTTGGACGTTGTATAAGAAAAGACCCCTTGTCCACAATTTGTTTTACTTATATGTAGTCCACCTCTTCTTGTTATAATAAACTAATTCTACTTAGTACTTCTTCGTGCTCATAGACCATAGAAAGCACTGTATGAGGCACAAGTTAAATCTTCCATTAGTTTTACTTTGTACTGTGGTTCATTAAATAGGAATGTTGATCTCCACACCATGTTAAAATCAAGGCCAACCAAGACATACAAAATTGCTATTATGCTTGATCTATTTTATTTTGTTAAGGAGAACGGGATGTCTTGATTGTCGTATTGATTTTGTTCTTCTTTTTGTTCCAACATATTGAAACTGAAGAGCTGAAAGGAGTTAACAACATGAAAGAGAAAGTCCCATGCAGGTAAAATCATCAGGTTATTTAGCACAAAAATATTAAACGATCACCTACATGTATTAGTTCACTAAAAAAGAAATGGAACTAAGTTGACGTTGCAAGCGTATATAGTTCTGCACCTAGCAAACAAATATTGATGTATTTTCTTTCTTTCTTTTTTTTACAAAGGAAAATATGTCCTTATTTACAGGAGGTCCTGTGCGTAGAAGAGCCATATCTAATGCACATCAAAAAGCACTTCATGTAGGGTATACACAGGACCCCTCGTTACTTTTTTGTAAGGGGTCCTTTCACTTCTTGAGCGATGACGATGAAGAAGAACACAACATAAGAGTGATGAAAGTCTGTGTATAAGATGTATTATGGTTGATATCCATTCGCATCCATGAAAAATTAAGTAAAAATTGAGACTTCAGCATGAATTTCTTTTTAAAATACCACAAACGAAAACCAGACCTGGGTAGCCCGTATTCTTCAAACAGATGCAAAATATTTCAAAGATCCAACATTTATATTGTAGGCTGGTAGCGTATTATTTTGATTATGCTGTAATGCTACGTTCCCCCTGTCGTGCGATCCGTTAAGAACCACATGATTGGTCATACGTAGCTGATCGTGGAACTTCTCTAAAATGTCAAGTTTGGATACGAAGTGATGCGAGTCGTTACGTTCTACGATTTGATGTGCTTGGATGCGATATCGTCACGATTGGTCAATTTCACTTGACATGATCTGGTCTCCCGTTCAGATATGATCATATACGTTCCGATAGGATTGCCCCGATTGACTCCACGATTGGGTCTCGATGGGATACGATCATCACGAACCGATGCGCGCTGTTGCCACATGATACGATTGTGGTCACGAAGTCTTTCACGAAAAGGGTCCAGAGTGATCATGATTTAAGCTACGATTGGACCCCGACGGATATGTATATACAGGCCGCCTTACCATGGAATTCATTGCTTCTAGAACTTCTACAGAGTGAACAATACAAGCCACAACCATTGATGATGGCAGGAGTTGAGGATGATGATAACGTGACATTTGCAGTATTACTGTATGCTTATATAATCGCCAGAGACGAAGAAGACGAGCAGCAGCCAGACCAGCCACATCCCCGACCTCAAAGGGCCAGGAGAGCTGCAGTCAGGCAGTTCTCGGTGCGACCATGGCTCAAAGAGGGGAGGAAACAACAGCTTGGCCAGTTCTCCAGCCCCCTAGACACCCATTTGAGGCTAGAAGATCCAGTGGCGTTCCAAAACTACACAAGGTTAACACCACAGCTCTTTGATGAAGTCTTGCAGAGGCTGTCCCCCGCAATCGAGACGAAACACACAGTTTCAGGCAAACCCTCTTACCTGGACTGAAACTGGCAATGACACCGAGTCATCTTGCCACTGGAGACAACTATCAGTCCCTTGCATATATACCTTCAGGTGTAGAGTGTGCAGCATCTCAGAGATGGTTCCAGAAGTGTGCCAGACAATTGTGCGAGCGTACACAGATGAGGTTTTTAGCCTACCTGTCACCCCTTAAGCCTGGAACAGTTTGACCAGAGATATAACTTAGTCCATGCCATTAGGGCCCTGGATGTCGAACACATTGCTATCAAGAAGCCACCCCACAAAGATAGCCTGTACTACACTTACAAGGTCTTCTTTTCGATAACACTCCTGGTTCTGGTGGATGCAGATTACAAGTTTATGTGGATCGAGCTTGTTGGAAAAGGACACATGTCAGATGCTCAGATATTTGGCGACTCTGAGCTGTTCAACCTCCTGGAAGAGGAAGCCCTCGGACCCCCCCCCCCACACACACACACACACCCTGCCCTCTTACTGCAAGCTTCGATAACCTCCAAGACATGCCCTTCTTCATCCCGCGGGATGATGCCTTCGCACTCAGGAACTACCTCATGAAGCCATACTGCAGAAGAGGGGTGGCCAGGGAGGAAAAGATTTTCAACTACAGACTCTCAAGGGGGAGACGAGTGGTGGAAAAATGCCTTTGGGATCCTGGCTAATAGATGCAGGTGTATTATCAGGACTCTAGAGCAGAAGCCTGAACACTGTGAAGGATATGTTTGAGGCGGCATGTGCACAAGATGCAGCACAAGAGACGGACCATGAGGCTGAAAACCACAATGTCATCCCAGGGGCATGGAGGGACCATGTGTACTGGCTTGACTTGAATTAACCTCCTGCACCTCGCAACTCAGCTACAGCAGAATCAAAGCATCAGAGGGAACTCCTGAATGCCTTCTTCAACTTACCACAAGGTGTGGTCGCATGGCAGGAAAAGATGGCCGGGCTGTATGACGCGGAAGGTAGACAGGAAGATATTTTTATTTACTTTTGAAAAAATTCAGGAAATTGATGTTGATGCTTAATTGTTTTTTTCATTCTTACTCACTATTCAAAGTTAATGTCTTAGAGCAATGTAAACTTATTTTAGGGTCATTACAGCAACGTTGTTAAATCTAGGTGACATATATTTACTGACTAAAATGGGGAGAGAATTTAAACGCATTCATTGTCCATGTCAGTGCAAGAACAACAAACAATTCCATGTGAAAGAATTACTATAATGTAATACATTTTAAAAGATGTGTGAATAGCAACTATCTGAATAAAAGCTATTTTCTGACCTTATACTTAAAGGGAAAGTTGAGTTCTGTTTTCAGACCGCAAATGCCTTCAATGTGCATGGTTATTGCTCTTATTCTTACCTATGACATTTCTAATGCCATTTTAGGACCTAAAATTGCTATGGAGGTAAATGTAGACCCCAAAATGTGTGAAATTTAGCCAATACGATCATACCAATTTAGTTCCACTTTCAAACAACTATGGTGACCGTTAATTAATTAATTAACTAATAATAAAAATACATAGGCCGGCTGGGTTGTGTATGATATAACAAACACGACAAAGCCAACAAAAAAGCCAGCATCGGCAATGGCTGAAACACAACATAAAAGGCGCTATTTCGTTTTTTCAACGGCTGTTTCAATTATTCGAATATTTGTGGTAGTACACAAATATTAGAAATCGTTATATTTATGGATAGTTCAGCCGTCTCTAAACCGACTTTGATCAATCAAAGATGATTTTGTCATTTAAATGATATGCTCTTTCAAATTTGACACTTATTTTTTCATTATCTCACAATAAATTATTTTGTGTAGCGCCCTCTGCAACAGAACTCAACTATCCCTTTAATAATATGGCACTAAAGGTTACACGCTGCAAAATTATAACAGCTGTATGTATATATTTGTCCATTATGTTATCGAAATAAAGTTGGTATCTATTCTCTTCTATGGTCTCAACTTTCTATTTCGAGTCTGCAAATTAATGGTATACATGTTAACATTACCTTTCCATGATTGAACGGGAAAGAGAGGGAGAGAGAGAGAGAAATGAAAGGAAGGAGAGAGACAGAGAGAGAGAGAGAGAGAGGGAAGGAAGATTAACAAAAGGAAGAGGAGAGTTTGAGGTTGAAGAAGCTGATGGATTGAAGGAAAAGGAGTTATTATGATTAAGGACTATAAAGAGAATGACAGTGCATGAGACACAAATTTGATGGTTGAGAGAGAAAGAGGAGAGAGGAAGAGAGATTTTTTAAAAGAGAGCGAAGGAGAGAAAGTCTATAGATACGGGCGCGAAAACTCGTAACAGATCTTGAACGTTCGTGAAAAGGCGTGACTTTTCGTATGTAGTCGCATCTACTCGTATCAACTTGTATTTGCTCGTGAGTCATTCGTGTCAGGTCGTAAGCAACGATACCCGACAGAGCGTCACAGATCGCAACACATCTCAACAGAGTGTGGTATTTGTGTGGTCCAAGGTTGATCCCGATCACCACGATTAGGAAGCACGATTAAATGCGATATGTTGCGCTTTGTTACGATCCAATACGATCTGATGCGATGATAACGATTGAAAATTAATTGTGTTGATCGTAGAAATGTGTCTAACCGTCCAAAAGTGTCCTACGATCAACACGATTGCAACGACTTACCTCAAGATCTGATAATATCTGATAGAATTACCACGATTACTTAACGATTAAGACCACGATTTCAAAGATTATCATAAGTTATGTCCAATTTTAAAGGAAATTGCGAAGGCAAGAAAAAAGCAAAGGTTGTATTTGTGTGGATAAGTATAACAATAACAAAAGGAAGAAAGAAACAAAGATAAAGAAAAAGAAGATACGAACATGCACTGCTCGGGAGTATGAGTTTTCACTGGCATAAGTAAGCACAGTAGAGCAGTGCATGTTGAGATAGCGTCTATGTTCTAACACTCATGAGCGGTCGGGAACACAGCATATATTTCTTAATCGATTTGAAAATATGATGATCGAGATGATATTATGGTAACAGCTCCTAAAAATGAAATCGTGATATGATGACGATCTTGGTGCACTCAGAAAAAAAAAGTGCTAAATTTAGCACTTAAAGATTCAATTTTAGCACTTTTTAGGAGCTCGCATAGTGACTGCACTCGAAGTGCTGAGTTAGCACTTGCACCCGGGCTACTTTGCTAGCACCCAAAGGAGCTGACTGTTGTGCTAAATTTAGCACTTAAAGATTCAATTTTAGCACTTTTTAGGAGCTCGCATAGTGACTGCACTCGAAGTGCTGAGTTAGCACTTGCACCCGGGCTACTTTGCTAGCACCCAAAGGAGCTGACTGTTGTGCACTTAAAGTGCCAAGTTTTGCTCTCTTTTGGGTGCTAGCAGAATAGCCCTTGTGCAAGTGCTAACTCAAGCGTTGTTTGACATGCCCCATCTACATTTGGTATGTGGTCAAGGTGGATGTCCTTCGTCATTTACCACTTTCAACTCTTACAGGAAACATTTATTAAACCAACATCCACAAGAAGAACCTGAACCTGAAGTTGTACAGGGTATGGAGGGTCTAGTTGATGCTGATTTGGGTGTTGCTGTTGGTGAAGTGCATAATCCTGCAGCAGATGATGCATTTGATGATGATGATGATAGGATAGGCCTACTACAAGAACAAGATGGAGCAATGCATAATGACAGTACAAGACACTATGAATATGACAGACAATGAAAGCGGACACAATATACAGTTCCTTAGGTAGACAAAGGAACATCCCTTCACTGCTATTATGTAAAAATGTGTAGAACAGGTGTCACATGCATATTCACCTGTTCTACACATTTTACATAATAGCAGTCAAGGGATGTTCCTTTGTCTACCTGAGGAACTGTATATTTTGTCCGCTTTCATTGTCTGTCATGTTCATAGTGAGACCAGCTGCATTTTTCATTGGTTCTCTTTTATCAAACACCAACATGACCCATGCAATATGACAAACAGAGTGTTATCTGCTGCAACAGCTTTGAATACTGATGTTGTTGACAGTTTAAGGAGCAAAGTTATTCAGACTTTTGAGGCCTTGGGTATTGACCTGGAGAATGAAGAATGTAAGAATCTCTTAGCTGAATTTGATTCAAAAACAAATATTCACAAGGTAACAGCTATTATACTAACCGACCAATCAGATCAGGTTATGCAGTCAGCACTCGATGTTAAGTGCTGCATATTGTTATAGCACTTGTTTTCTGCACTCAAATATTCAGCACGTTTCGGTTTCCTTGTTAAAGTTAACCCGTCAAGTGCTGATTTTGGCACTTCAAGTGTAGAATCTCACTCAGCACCCAACATTTAGCACCTCAGTTTTTTGCGTGTGATCACGGTTATTTTTATGGTGAGAGTGTTAAATCAGCATGGTCAATTTGAGAAAGCATTGGCGATTTTAATAGAATAACGATGTAACATTGTATTTCCATAAAGCTCAACACAATGTTTCTAGGCGCGTTACATCTATTTGTCAAAACGATCAAAAAAGCTAGGAAGCAAAATAAAATATAATGCTTAGATTTTGATTTGGTTGCCTAGTTTATTCGAAAGATTTTTATCCTAATAAACAATTTGTCAGAGTTGTTGGTTTTTGTTTGCAGTCTCCCGTATATCGATGGGGGCTTCCGAAACAAATATTTTGTTAATAATATTATAAGGAAACCTTGAACCACAACGAGTTTAATGTCATATGAAATTAAAATTATATTTTTTAAATGTTATAACCGTTTTTAACAGAATTTTGATCAGTTAAAATTTACTTTTTGTGAACAAAAATGTCCTTATTCAATATATCGAAATCGGACAGGTAACTTCATAATCTGTATTCAAAACGTTTTGGGAATTCGCCTATGTATAACTGCATTATATTGTGCTAAGTAGAGGTTTTTTCACTTTTTAATGAACTTGATTTACACAAAAACGACAGTTTTGCCCATATATGTACAAATTGTTTGTATATGTGTGTAAATTTGTTTGGCGTGTTTAATCGAGTTTTAAAGATAAGTTGAAAGTAAAACCATAAATATCCATGGGTTTGCTGTCAAATGATGGATATTAAAAGTACCTTCAAAGTTCGTATCGATTTCATTATATTATGTTAGTGGAGGACTCCACCCCCTCCTAATTCTGGCCCGTTTTTGGTAAACTAGACGATAGTGTATGTACATTATTTTTTAGCAATGCAGACAGTTCAAATAATTAGGAGTGCTGAGTGCAATAGATAACTACCATCACCACCACCATCATCACTATCATCATCATCATCACCCTCATCACAACCATCACCACCACCACTATCATCACAGTCATCATCATCATCACCATCATCAGCATCATCATCACCATCACCATCATCACTGTCATCATCATCACCACCACCATCAACACCACCACCATCATCACCCTCATCATCATCATCACCCTCACCATCATCACCGTCATCACCATCATCACAACCATCACCACCACTATCATCACTGTCATTAACATCACCACCACCATCATCACCCTCATCATCATCACCACCATCATCAGCGTCATCATCATCATCATCACCCTCATCACAACCATCATCTCCACCATCATCACCCTCATCATCATCACCACCATCATAAGCGTCATCATCATCATCACCCTCATCACAACCATTATCATCATCACCATCACCATCATCATCATCATCATCATACAAAATTATGGACGTGCCGGCAGGCGGGGGGTGGATTGTCCGATTAAAGATTCCGGGGTAAAACTCAGAACCCAGCCTGGCGCAAGCCGGCTGGGCTAATTAATGAAAATTAAATGCCCCAGCCAGGCTTCGGCCTGAATTGCAGCCTCGATCCGCCAATACGTGAGGCGGTAGCCAGCTGGAATCGATATTTTTGACTTTTTCGCCTTAGTACTGTGTAGCAAATGATGATAATGACTTTTCCATATGGTGGAAAATGAACTAGAGAGCATCACATAAGGCCTGTTGGTCACAAAACTGAAGGCTAATCCAGATGATTGACAACACCTGAATGGTTTTGAATCCCCCATGAGAGCCCACTACTATGTGTCTTCAATCTTTCATGAAGACCGTGTTGATGAATAATGTGTACTGTTAATGTTAGGAATATTATATGAGTTGGAATGTTTTGTATTACTTTTCGTTATTAGTAGTATATCTGTAGACTATAAGCTGACCATGTGTCGCCAATTCATGTTGTAATATAATTTGTTGAATTTTGATTAATGGCCATATTTGTGTAATGTATGTCATTTGTTGATCTGTGCCCCAAGGGAGCCATTATGTCGGCAGAGTTGTGCGCAACATTCTGATCAGAAGCAGCATTATTTTGTAATGTTCTTTCTTTGATTATGTTTTAACATGGGTAGTCTAGCAGATAGATAGAGACGCCCCTGAGTGGACACCAAGTTTAAATGGTGTAAAATAGTGGATATAAAGACATACATTGACATGGAATATTTGAAATATACACTTAAATTGACAATAATAATTATGGTAATAGCTAGTTCTTATATTATTATAATAGCGCTTTTCAGGACCGAAGGCCTTTTTGAAGCGCTTCACAATTATATATATTATTACCCCGGTCATCGGATTCAGGCTTTGCCGCACACATACTCCCTGAGGGAGCATTCCAGCCAAGCGTCATTTTTACAAGCGCACACTCGCTAATCCAAGCAATTAAAAAAAAAAAGTGCGTTTCGCTGTGAACAGGCGCGATAACAATCGCCCTCAAAGCTACTTTAAAACTATGTTCCCGGCAGCCACGTTTGCCTGAACCATAGTGGTCTGTATTCAAGATTTGTTGGGTGTTGCTCAGTTTTTGTCAAGGTCTATCACGGTATCCTTCCCCTCGTTGCTTCACGTCCATCACTTTTTGTACGCAAAGGCCGGCGTGAATAGAAATGTAAACATAGCTTGAAATGACGTCACAATCGGAAAATGAGCGACATTTTTTTAGGGAAAGCTCAGTACGTTTCAACAAGTTGCAACTTCAAGCATCTCCGCCTGGCTGCCGCCAACTACAACTTTAAGCATCTCCGTACGGCGGCCGCCAGCTGAAAACTTTAAAGTTGCAACTTTAACAACCTATTTTTGGCGGCAGATAATATCGTTGTCAGAACACCTTTCCCTGAAGACATAAAGAATATATATTTACCTGATTTTTCCCAGTCGGTGGAGCCCGTCTGTAGGCTTAGCTCGTGGAGCCGACTGGTCTGGACCTCCAGCTGCTCCTTGCTCTGCAGGAGCCGTTGCTGCTTCGTCAGGAGCCTCTCAATCTGCTTCTCTACATGCTGGAGCTCCTGGTTCACCTCATCCAGACCATGCTGGATATCCAAACTCCCAGCTGTTAAATCACACATTATAATAATAATAATAAATATTATAATAATTCTACATTTATAATGCCTACACATGCTGGTCTTGTTCATCGTCATGTAGGGCGTTTACAAATAGCACATGGTACAAATGACCCCAAATTTCCACAGATCTTTTACACATGGAGAAGTTCCACTTTGAGCATCTTAGAATAATAACTGCCAAAGTCTTAGATGTGCTTCATGAATACCTTTTGTTTGCCCTCTTGAAAAGAATACTTCCACCTGCGTATCTTAGAATGTACCGTTGGTGCATAAATGAATAATGTTACATAACTCTCATGAGCGCATATCCAGTATTCATCTCTGTAGGTTTTACCATTTTGGTACAAATGACCTGTATCTGCCCATGCGCAGATTGTATCTATTAACTGGCTTATTTGTCAGAAAACCATACAGAACGCCAGAGCGTTTATGTGGTTTAAATTTGGTTCATGTGGATATCAAATATGAGAAAAGTGTGTTCTCTTTTTCATTACTGAAAACAAAATCGTAATGAATAGCATAGCAAGTGCTCCAGAAGATTGATATCTCTGGTTTTGTAACTTTAACAAAATGCTTTCTTTTTTAGTTGCATTAAAATAACTGAGACATTCCTTATCTTACAACCTTCAGAATGCCGTCTCAACAAACTCATAGCACGCCTCTAGTGATTCAAAACTGAAACATTAATCCCGAAGCCATCTTCATGATAAGCAGTGTCTACATGTCTTATGTATTAATTTATTTTAGAATTCATATATATTTTGCATTCTAAACACATCTTGGGAGTTTCTAATCTTAATTTTCTTTCAATATGAAGTAGTGGTGGTGGTGGTGGTGGTGGGGGTTATCTTAAAACCATTCACGATGTATTTTTTCTATTTCTAAAAAACACGCTTGATATTCAAGTATTGTACACTTTAGCAATTCTAGGGAGATAATCACTCCAAGATTGCGCCTTCACTTACCGCCATAAATACAAGCATATGCTACATTTTTCTATCATTATATTCAAAATTAATATTTTCATTACAGTCATGTTTTGATGGCTAAAATCTCAGACTATTTATGGTGCGAGAGAGGACTTTTTCCCCCAAACTACATGTATTTCTGATTAAAAAAAAGTTGTTTTTCTAAAGGAAAATATTGTGCATCATAACACATATTAACAAAATTCCCCGCATCCGTTCCCATAATCATGATATACATGTATGTAGGGTCTTCTTAACATGTTATTCAATATTTTATATAGGTCATTGTCTCATTGTACACATTAAGAATTAAAGGTACTAATTTATTTGATGTCGTTCTGGACAGCCCGGATAATGGCAAGGTCATGTCAGCAAATATATATATAGATGACGCTCTTTTTTTTGCTCGTCTCGAAAGCCAGGGAATTTTCTTTAAAATGTGGGACTTTGGAAATGTGCAACTGGAATACTGATTTTAGCATCTAAATATTAAACATTCAGATATTATACACAGCAATATCTGGACCTGAAGGGGATCCAAAATACATGATCACTTGAGGACTCGCAAAAAACCTACAAACGCGAAACCCAAACCTACCACAGAGCCACGTACTGCTACCAATAGGAGCCCGCAAAAATCCCACCAGGGAAGCCTGCCAAATAAAAATTCACGGAGCACGGTTAACACGACGATGTCCATGCTACAGGAATATGAACCCATTGTGCCGGCTACTACCAACAATGAAGACGTGGAGCTCTCCAGGAATACCGCAGCTGGGTCGGACCAGATCAATGTCGTCGATAACCCCTCACCAGGTCTACCTAATTTAGATAACTTCTTCAAAGAGGCATCTGTGAAATTTGAAAAAATGATCAGAAGCGCGGTGGTAATTTCATTGCCAAGTTGAAGGATTTTGAAGCCAACATGGGAGCCTCGTTGGAGTTTGAGCGTGAACGTGTCGATAACCTGGAACAGAATTTAAACAAAATGGAAAAGCAAATCGGTGAAATGAAAAATGAAATATCCACCTTCAAAGTTCAGTTTGATAAGTATGAAAGTGATGCAAATAAAAATGAGCGTTTCTCCAGGCTAAATAACATTCGCCTTGTAGGGGACCTTAAGCCTCCGGTAGGTCATCAAGATTATTGTATCCAGATAGCTGAAAGCATCATTCGCACCCATTTCGATATAGAAAGCAGAGTTGAGCGCGCCCACAGAGATGGGATAAAGGTCGAGGATAGGCCACGCCATGTCCTGATGAAGCTGCTATCCAATCGAGATAAAGTAAACATAATGCGGAAACATAGAGAGACTCTGAAAGATAAAAATTTCGTCATTATAGATGACCACACGCCCGTCGACCTGCGAGAGAAGCAAAGATGGAGCAAACAAGTCCAAGATCTATATCAAGCAGGCACTAGACTCCGATCTTACGCTGGAAATTCGAATAAGTATATACCTTTTAATCATTGTCGAATAATTATTGTAAATTATAACTGAACATGCTTTTATAAACTCATTATATTCTTCATACCCGAAAGAGGTATGATGCATTTCGTTTGTAGACAAACAATAACTTCCTGATAAACTATATAAACGTGTATTTCAATGACTAGGTTTGAACTAATTATTGATACATTAATCTAATTTAAAACGGAAGTGTTTTTTTGTTGTTGAAACATTCTTACGTTATGTATAAATATTCTCATAAGCAGCTACCATCCCTATTTCACAACATGTACAGTTTAAACTCAAACATTCACACATATCCCGCCCGTTGTTCAACAAATTATCATTTAGAAAATCCTAAAATACTTTTAGCTCAAAAGTCAGGAAGACATCATAAACCAGATGTCTTGAACTCCTTACCAGATTCAATAAGGCATTGTTCATTTTTCTATTCTTTTAAAGCATCTCTTTAAAAACTCCTATATCGAAGGTAAATTTTTACCTTAAGATTTTTTGAGGCCGCCATCCTTGTCAAGCATCGCTTAAAATTGCGTTCTCCTGCACTTTTATTCAACAGATATTTCGGATAATATGTTATGGAAATATTAAGTTTCGTTATTATATGTACATTTGTAAAAAAAAAAATAATAATAATAATAATATTTTGACAATAAGTAATTATTATTTGTATATGTTGTATTATGCCTTACATGTATATGTTCTTTGTCATTCAGTTATATTATATTTGGAAACATGCAGAAATAAAATTCAAATCAAATCAAATCAAATGTTTCCATCAGCTCCCATCCAACATCCGGCAGTGATGCCAAACAACATAAAATCAAAGCCAGGAGGTTTGTTCACTTCTCATGCAAGGGTGTGGAAGCGACACCAAATGGATTCGCCGATGCCTTTGGTAAGGCATTAATATGATTCCTCGGAGAGGACGTACGACCGTCAGTACCCTGGTTGCTTTCAAGCATGCACATGTTTTCTTAGTAGTCAGGCAAAATAAAACAGCAAACCAACCCAAACCATCCACTGTCTTGTATTCATGTTGATGCGTTAACTTGTCATGGTCATGGGCAAAATTATGAAAACGGCTGGAAGTGGCGTGTAAGGGGCCGGGCAACTACACATGCCAATATTTCCTGACAAATCACAGAGTACACAAGAAGTACAGTGGTTATCAATTTCACTCAACACTCCTAATCCTTTGAACTGTCTGCACTACTAAATTTCCTATCACTAACGTCCAGTTAATATACCTATATACAAGTAAAAAATTTAGGAAACTTATTATCCACCACAAAGCACATTTTCGGCTCATGATTGAATGTGTACACACTACGTAACTCAATGAAATCGAATAAACTTGAAGTTATTAAAATTATCCATCATTTGACACCAACCTCATAGTGAATAGAGTTGTTACTTACATTTGTTGTTTATGTTCCGATTTAAACACACCAAACACGTCATCAATACATTATTCTTTATGTCTACATACAGTTAATACTCATAATGGGCAATTTTTTTTAATTTTGGGAAAATCAAGTCAACAAAACTGGGTCGGTATATCCTTTCACTGAGAAGAGCTGTAACCTTTTCTTTGCGCAAAATGTTGTCCTTGTATACGGGAGAATCATTTCTGAAAAGTTACAAAATGGATAAATGATCGATTCTGATATCTGGATTTTTTAAATATTTTTTAAATTTAATTTGTTGAAGAAAAAAAGAAACCCGTTTTTACTCAAAATTGCAATGTTGATTATGTTTAATTCCACGGAAATTGGTATCAAAATGTATATAATTTTATTTTATTATATATGTGGCACTAAACTCTAGGTGGTTCGAGGTATACTTGAAAGAATATTTACAATAGTCTTCTTCGATTTGAGTACGAAGCTCATAAATGCGATCTCCATCCTCCATGCAGTTTTCGATCATTCTAAGGAGACTAAGCTGGTACTCATCCTCAAGGTGTTCCTTATCTGGAGTGATATTGGCGACCTTGTAGATATCAGTTATTCCTGTGGACCCCAGGACAAGATGCATGTTGTCTAAATCTTCATCACTGGCACGGTCAACGTTAGTAATGACAGCAATCGGGTAACGGCCTAGACATAAATGTTAAACAAAATAAGCATGTAAATCAATAAATATTACACTTTTGTGTATTTATGACCCGTCACGCCAAACAGGGACAAAAGCAGTATTAAAGATAATTATTCATGATGGGGGGGGGGGGGGATATCTTAATTATCCAGGGTAGCAAAATAATACCATTCTTCCTGCAGGTCTTGCAATTGTCATCGACACATAATTAACATGTACCCATTTATTCAACTGTCATCTATAAATGTATTTATTCATTCGTTCATTAATTTCTTCAATTGTTTATTCATTTACTAATTCGATTTCAAATCTTAAGAAAAATACAATTAGACAGTAGTGAAGCTAAAACAATGGTAAATAAGATGAATATGGTGTGGGCTTGCTTCCTCGAATTCGCAAAATGAAGAGCACCAACAATTTCGAAATGACCTAGAATCAATATGCTCATGTACAATCAAGTCATCTTAAACCTTTTTTTTTTACCCCGACAGTGCAACCTTTACTACCGTGTGAGTCAAAATAAAGTTTACACCTAGAAAATTGCTAATTATTTTAAAAATCATCTATGAACAGTAAATGATTATACACATATTTGCAACAATGCCTCCTCTTTATCCAAGCGTGAACACATACCTTACAAAAATTATACCAAATGATTTGAGATAAAACACTCTTTCATAAGATGTATAATCATTTACTGTTCATGGATGATTTTTAAAATAATTAGCAATTTCCTAGTTGTAAACTTTTATTTGACTCACACTGTACAGTAGATGCGTGAATCGTGATATCAGCTTACATTTTGTTGTGTATGTGTGTGTGTGTGTGTGTGTGTATGTGTGATAGGTATTTGTCTGTCCTATCTCTATAAAGAAATGTCACAGCAGCGCCATATTTTGCATGGCTCAAGTTGATACCATGAAAAGGAGCTCATTTTGCTTGTACATAATATTAACATTGTCAAAATAATCCATAATCATTTTGGAGAAACAATTACGCTGCCAATATAGCAAACACTACCAACTCTGCTGTCGCGCACCACTTTCTGAAGAATGCACTGAGCAGCATTGTTCATCCTGGTGACCGTATGTCATGTCTTTTGTGCCGACATAAAGAGTTGTTGAGGAGGCTCCTTTTATTCTTGCCTGCTATCAGAAATGGCTGGAATTACGTCTATTTTTTGGCAGACAATCATATAGAGTTTGTTTTCTTTTTTTACACAGAAAAATAGAAACAACAGGATCGCAACAGTTTTTTTTGTTTAAAATTCAATACCCTTTATATGTCACATTGAAATCATGTTTGATTTTGTAACATATATTAGTGTAATATAAATTTCAATCAAATCTTGAAATTTAATTCCGAAAGGTAAACAAAATAATAATAAATAACAATCCTGCACCTATTCATGTTTTATTCCAAAAGGAATTAAATCCAGTATTGCCATTGACGAATAAATGACGTTTCCCTAAGCTGTCTTTTGTTTTGGTAGATATGGTGTAATTAACAGAATTACTCGATTAGTGCAAAATTTCAATAAATTGAAAGCATTGAAATCTTTCAAAGATTAAAACCAAAAAAACCTTTGGGAATGAAACATCTGAAGGTGTTTTTTTCAGGGAAAAGTTTATATTTGTCATTGTTAAGAAACGACAATTAAGAAAATACAGGACGTCAATGCCATAACGATTTAAAAGAAGAACAAAAGTGTGATGAATGGCACTGATAATATGGCTGTACAGATACAACAGAAGACCACTCTAAAGTATATGACTGTGCGGTACTACTTGTTTTAGTCTGCCTGACCCCAAACTAACTTTAAAAGACTATTTCTACTGCTGCATATATATATATATATTTAAATATGTGTGTATTTGTATTTAGATATACAGTGCGTCCCAGAAAAAAACGAAGCCGAGAATTATCGATGTTTTATCATAACTTAATCACAATTATAATTGATAAATGACACATATTTGAAAAGCTTAGACCCTCCTCTGTCATTTGATGCAACTCATAAAATGCATATTTTACGCATGAGTGATTAAAATCAATTTGAAGAGAGGAAACTAAAAAGTCATTTGGCGGACGGTATTTGAATTTCAAGAAGAAAATCACATTTCTAGAAAGTTGAGTTTCTGCCCTTTCATATGACACCTCAATCAGGAAAAATGAGCAAGGAATGACAAAGTTCTGTTTGTTTAAAGTAGTGCTTGCATTTCCATACATTTATCAAACGAATTTATTTTCACTGGTTGTCTGCCGTAGCAATAAACAGAGTTGACAAAAGACTTAAAGATGAAGTTGAATTCTGGTCATGCGATTGCATTGTGAAAGAACCGGTGTGGAACCGACCAGAAAAGGTTGATTATCTAGCATATAAGAAATTGTGTGTATTGCAAGGTTTTGGAATCATCAAAATGATAAGAAATGTGGCCAAGTCTTGGTAAAGTTACAAACACTTGCACAGAAAGATGTATATGAGACTACACGAACACATGGCGTAAAAAGCCGGCCCCCCCCCCCCAATTTTTACGATGTTACATGCATATTTAGAATATGAAGGCATTTGAAGAGCCAAGCTTTTCAGGGAACATGTCTTAACTGATGTTCTTCCACACTTGCATAATAAGAATGAGTAATGCTCACAAATTATTGTTCACCTCTTCCCAGAACTCAACCTCCGTTTCGTTGACAATGAGCCGTAGACAAAAGACTTCATGCACGGCTGATTGTCAACGAAGCGGAGTTAAGTCTGTTGTCAATTCTGCTTTTTGCTACGGCAGGCTGCCAGTGAAAACGAATTCGTTTGATAAACTTCTTTATTAAACTACTTTAAACGAACAGAACTTTGTCATTCCTTGCTCATTTTTCCTGATTGAGGTGTCATATGAAAGGGCAGGAACTCGAGTTTCTAGAAATGTGATTTTCTCTTTGAAATTCAGATACCGTCCGCCAAATGACTTTTTTGGTTTCCTCTCTTCAAATTGATTTTAATCACGCATGCGTGACATATGCATCATATGAGTTGCATCAAATGAAAGAAGAGGATCTAAGCTTTCCAAATATGTGTCATTTTTTGCTTATCGTTATGACTAAGTTATGATAAAACATCGATAATTCTCGGTTTCGTTTTTTTCTGGGACGCACTGTACATATACACACATATGATATTCAATTAACAACAAAGTCAGTTACCTTGCCATTTTAAGAGGAATTCAACGAACTTCTGGGCTACCTCAAAGTACACCCTTGCCTTCCGAGCACTGCAGAGATAAAACATGATAACACATATAAGCATTTAAACGACACAATTAAACAAGTGGACGGTGGCTAGAAACGTAGCATAACACAATTATAAGATCAAAATTTATTTAACTTTTACAACGATATTTAAGTTGGTCTTTAAAAGGAAAGACAGTTCATGCTATAAATAAAACATGACATAGCAACACAAACTAGGCAGTTCATGAAACTGTATATTAAGAATCTTCATAGTTTTCTCTCTTTCGCTCTTTTCTTTCAATGAAAAAGTATGAAACAAATTGACATAATGAACCAGCAGCAGAAGTTGAATCGAGAGAAAATAAAGTTGCCGACCAAACTGGTAGTTGCAATGACGAACCTTCGTCATTGCCTTGTTTTCGTTCACATTCTTCTTATTAATATTCTTACTTCTTCTTCCTCTTCCTCTTCTTCTTCTTGTCGTCCGGAATCCCATTCGTTTTGCACGTAGTGCTTGTTATTCCTAGTTAGGTGCTTTCCTCATGTCCTTTTCCTTTCAAATTTCATAGGCATAGTCTCTAACATCTCATCAAGGTCACTATTGTCTTTGATTTTCGAAATCACTCATGCATGACCGTCCACGCGCCATTTTGTCCGTTTCTGGTCCATTTTAAGGCCTTTATATCTTCCTTCCTATCTCCACTATCCTAGATCCTACAAACTTCTAACAAATTCCTCTAGATAGTCTGAGAGATGTTCTTTCATCTGCGACGTATGACTTGACCTTCAAAATGCCATCTTCATACTCGAAATTCAAATCTAAAACCGACTCCGTCAAAAATCTCTCAAGTTCTTGAAAAATGGACCCCTAAATAAACTAAAACTGCCATAACTTTCTCATATAAATTCCGTTTTGTATTTAAATCTCACAGTATCTTTATCTCATAATTGCACATAGCCATGCCAAATTTCACGCTCCAATGACTTTGCACAACATAAATAGCGCCCTCTAAAGTTCTGGGAATTGGCTTTCTGTCTGTGGCCGTATCTCCATAATGGCTTGGCAAACCCGTACCCTTTTTTGGATTTAGATACTTGAAGATATGCCCTTTCCAGCCATATACAAAATTATATACCCTATCACTGACCAAATTTGAGAAAATTGCCCTCCAAATAAGCCATTTTCAAGAAAATTGAGAAATAACTTCAACTTGCTCTAAAATGGCGATCGTTATACCTACATCAATGAAACTTTGCAGACATATGTATCCATATATGTGACAACTGTTTACCAAGTTTTGTAAAATTCGAATATGTCAGCGCAAAGTTATCGCCAAAAATGATGAATTTACTATGGATTACGTAATAGCGCGTTCAATGCGCGCAATACATTGCGCGCAGTTAACAATGGTGTCAAACTGACCGCAATGAATTGCCCTTTCGGATGATACCAAGTATTATATATGTTCACACAGAAAATTGTGAGTAAATCGCATTTGAACAAAGATCACTACACGAATTCCGCCGAGTTTCCGCCCGAACCTAACACATTTCGGCTATGACGTCATTTTTTCAGACTGCTTTTCGCCCCTTAAACGTCCTTTTTTTTCCTTGAAAATTTCCAGTGACATGCCGAGTTCCAATACGCAGGGCACCTCCTGGCCGGATTTTTGAAATTGGTCAAGGGGGCCATTTAAGACGCCATTTTGTCCTATACATCTATTTTACATCACGTGTTTCGATAGGATTATCATAGAAAAAAGAAAGTGGTTTACAA